ATCTATCTTAGACCAATCCGCTCTGCTGATGAATTTTACAACACATTCAGCTATGAAGTAAAAATAACAGATAACTGACATTAGGTTTTAATGAACCTGATATCAACTGGATAGAGATGACCACCGTAGTTACTGTAGACTCTTGATAGTAGGCTCCTGATGACTGTAGTGGAGCATGCTTTATACAACACGTATTCGGACAAACACATTTTGGTTCAAACAAAACTCGAACTTAGTAGTCACTCATATAACCAATGATATTGCCTGTCTAAATATCCTCCCACCGATCATGGTGTTTTGTCACTCGTGTTTAGAGTTTGCGACATAATACACGGTCAGGTTGCCCCCCCCCTCAAATGTGTGGAGAGCAAACACAACAGCCAAACAGAAAAGTGCTGGGAAAATGGACTAATCAGTAAATATCAGCTCATCAATTAGAGAGATATGGTCTATACTTAGAGGTACACTTGGTTTACTTACACGTGGACCTTTTAACTCACCACCATGCATAACTAAACAAGTCAAGAAACTGCTTAGACGTAGGAAAAGGCGTTAACGTATGCTTATCTATACAGACTCTGAACAGTACATATTCACTTATTGTAAGACTAGGAACGGTTGCAAGGCGTTGATAAGGCTCGACATTCATATGATACACAATTTGTTAAGAACTGTGAAAACAGTTAGTCAATGTTTCTCTAGCATAGAGATGCGAACTTAGAGAAGTGATGAAATTCCACCAATTTTGGTGAAAAATCCGCTTAGATTAGAAAGAAACGCTGAAGCTTTATCAGAATATTTTAAGTGTTTTCTATCGATGATAGTGAAATACTAACAAGATGGCGGCTTGTCGATGGATCCTCTGGTTATTGAGATACGGTTTTTCTTACAATTGCTTCAGATGGTTAGCATCTGGAGTTTCGTTCCTTGCTCAAAGTAGTGAATTACTGGAATTCTCAACCAGGAAATGTAATATCAGCACCTCCGGCTGGTACATTGTAGACAAGATTGGGTCTCCACAGTGCTACAAATCGGAAGGATTAACGCAGGTCGATTGACCTATCCTTAGTAATAAACACTAGAGTTGGTATAGACACAATTGTGTCTAAATTTAATCTCGTTAACCTTAACATATTATACCATTACAATGGTATTAATTCCTTACAAAAATTGCAAGTCGATATTATTGAGGAATTGATCTAAACTTTGTCGGTCGGTTAGATAGCGTTTAATGACAGATCGTTTAAGTGTTTCGTAGGGTTCCGAAACAGCACTAGTAAACATACTAGATGTTGCGTTGCAACACGTGTAACCAGAAGTCACTAGAAGTCGGGAAGACCTTAAACCACGACACATACTATGTTAACCGAGCACTTTACACCACAGGGAATACACGGAATGGAGACCGCTGGTCATTTATTCGAAAATTAAAACTCACGGGTTATGTACAGAAAGGAGAGCTAGTTTACAAAACGGTCTTGGGAGTCATCCTGTAAGTTTAGTGCATGCAGGGGTTTAATTCTGGGTTGCCCTTCAATAGGAAGAAAACGAAATCTATTAACAACAGCTTACATGATGATTTTAACCCCGATACAACGTACCTGTTGAGTTTGCGCTGTAGTGCCTTGACTACTGTGAGGAATTCCGCATATGTGTCGTCCACGCGGTGCCCTTAGAAGACGACTTCTGCGTAGCAGAACTAGGCTTCGATGTTGTCTAGCCAGAAGGGCATTAGTTTAAGTACCTTGCGCATCAATAATGTGTCGTAAAAAGTCTAATGAGTCAGTCCCGATTTGGCATTTTTGAATGATTACAGTCGGTTGAAAACAAAATCCGGACGCTGGAGATGCGATTCTCTGTCCGGACTGGATATAAGGCAGTCACCATCATACTGATGTACGAGATTGAGACCTCGAAAAACGTCATCTATGGGCCTTTGGAAGTTTTGGGCATCGTTTATTTGACTGAAACGCATTCGCGAAAATTCGTAGTTTGAAGGGAGTATTGATAGTGGTTTGCGGTATATAGTCTGTAGCCATAGGGATTTGGTTATACGCCTTAACCAAGTCGATTTTCGAAAAGACAGTTGCACCTTTCAAGGTAGCTGTCAAGTCGTGAAAGTGAGACAACGGGTAACGAACAAGAATGGTTTCTGAATTCAATCGCCGGTGGTCACCAATTGGACGCCAATCGTTGCTACCCTTTTTAGGGACCATGTGCAGCGGAGATGGATATGGGCTATTTGACGGTCGTATGATTCCTAAGTCCATCATGTGGTCGAACTCGCTTTTCGCCAACCTTAGCTTTTCGGGGGCTAGTCGTCGTGCTTTAGAGAATACAGGTGGTCCTGTAGTCGTGATGTGATGTGTAACATTGCTGGTTACACGGGGTAATTTCGGTTGCAGTTGGTATATCCCAGAATACTTATCGAGTAGTGGTTGATAAAGTGAGTCTATCGTATGCTTAACTGTGACTGGGGATAATCTGCAACCAGAAAAGGAAGTTACGCAAACGGACAAATTAGTGTTTCTGTCTAATAGCATCCGTTTGCGCGTATCGATGAGTAGACTATGGTGTTGTAGAAGGTCTATACCAATGATTGGCATAGAAACATCTGCAACAACGAAGATCCAGTGTATGGGTTTACGTAAACCCATGTTAAGATAAACGCACCTTTTACCATATGTGGCTATAGGCTTTCCGCTTGCCGGCTTGGAAGTTTCCCGAGTTGTTTTTCGAGTCAGTCGGTTTCGTGTTGGGGAAATTGCAGGGTTTTCTGCAATTTCTGGAAAACTTTCCATACTGGTTATGATACCAGCACCAGTCGGGGTTATCTGTCTCTCGTGGTCTAGAGACAGATCGCTTACGTGAAGTGTTTCTTCTCAAGGTGTGTGACCGTTTACGTTCGTTACGAAATTCACGATAACGTGTAAGTGTATGACGTAACTCGGTTATTTTATTCTGGGTCGTTCGAGGCTTTTCTTTGACTGAAAAAGCCTCCGTATTAGAAGACTTGGTGATTTCTAAAATATGATCGGCAGATGCAGCCGACTCGTCTACGGCCTCTTTTTGAAACGATACCAGCACAGCCTGCGCCCGTGAGGAAATTTGGATAAGAAAAGTTGTTTAAATAGGCCATCATCGAGGGTTCCTTGGCCGATAACCTCTGTCATCCGTTGCAACACGTCCGTCGCAGAACCGTGTTGCAGGTCGATGTGGTTACGGAGTTGGTCTAATCTTTGTCTATCGGTTAGGTCTCCGTGTTTAAGAATAGAACGTTTCAGTGTTTCGTAAGGTTCCGAAACATCACTAGGAAACATTCTAGGTGTTACTTCACTTGGTATAGTTCTACTTGAATCTTCCCATTGATGTCTTAGGAACGCGCGTCCTGGATTCCACTGCTAGCCACTATCCATCTTTGTTTATGATGTTTGTAAATTAAGGCAATATCGAGGCATACGCACAGAATGCACGTATGCCAATAAGAGACTGATGAATTTCAGTCCTACAACATCGATGGAAAGATTCAAGTAGAACAATACCAAGTGAATTAAACTTCACCCCATTGCACAAGCAAGTGGCTATCAGGACTCAGTAGCTAAGTGGATAACGCGATGGTGTTTGAAGCGAACGGTACGTAGTTCGAGTCCCAGAGTGAGCATCAACTCTGAGATGCAGATACATCCGGCTGACGAGCCACAAATAGAACGAAATGCGCGTCCTGGGTTCCACTGCTGGCCATTATCGTTCTAGGTGTTACGTACCTGTTAAATTTGCGCGGTAGTGCCTTGATTACTGTGAGGAATTCCGCATGTGTGTCGTTCACGCGGTGCTCGTAGAAGTCGACTTCTGCGTAGCAGAATCAGGCTTCGATGTTGTCTGGCCAGAAGGGCATTAGTTGGAACGGACGTGGGGATATAGTCTTTAGCTTAAGTACCTTGGGTGTCTGTTCCGCCATGGTGCAATATTTAGTACGAGAATGAAGGAGTGAAAAATATCAAAAACACGGGGAAAATTATCACAATATTTGAAAAATTGGATCATGGTCGGCGGCCTATGCTTCATTAGGAGTAACAGATGTAAGTAAGTACGTAAGTAAATAAGTAAGTAAGTAATAATATACGGAATTCCAAAAAAGAACAGACTCAGAGTTTAAAATTTGGTGTACTACATCACGTCGAGCTCAACAATCAAGATGCCACAGGTATTCGGAGTTTGACAACTCTTTAACCAGTAACACCTTCTAATATGAAGCGCACCCACCAAGTGAAATCAAAAGACAAAAGCGAGGACGTTCGAATATATATTTGATTGGCCATCAATATATCGAGGATCGTCTGATCTAATCTGGCTAGCGATTGCAGGGGTTGTTGAGCACGTCGTTCCCACTCGTGATCTGGTGCGGATGCATGACCAAGTGCCTTCAGCTATGTGAGTCCATTAAAACTAATGTGGTCAGCATCCAATGTCGAAAACTTACAGAGCTATTTATTTTGTTGATTTATTTTCAGCTACAAGGTCATAGACCCAAATCAAAGGTTCACTATCTGTGGTTTTTTTATTTGTACAATGTAATAAGTTTTTTCAGTTCTGAAGCAAAACACACTATTTAAGGACGTTCATTTGGTACATTCCAAGCAAGTTTGTGTCGTCACAGTCCTAGAAATAAGAGGAGTATAACGTGGGTTGATGGACCTATACTTACTACTGAAACTGAAGATAATTGGTAAGCTGTGATGCTTTGAAGAATATCTGCTTGGGAGTGTCATTTGCACAGACAAAAAAATAAGAAAGACCACAATGGACTTTTTGTAGACACAACTGAATCCTGCAGTATACTAAACAATGAATTGTTTGCTATGACCCAAGATAGTACATCATTTTTGTGGCCTAAGCCTGTCTGCATAAGAGATTGGATACTATTCTAATAAGAGAATGGAAAAAGGTTTAATGTTTTGAACAGCAAGCATTCACTGATCATTGAAATTGTTTCGAACAAGCTTCAATCGACCTACTGTATTTTTACTTGTTGCACTTTTTTAAGTATTGACCTTGACATAAGTCGATAGTATGTGATGTCTCCTAGGTTGCTTTTTGGCTCAGTGAAACTAAGACATCTTTGGATGCTAGTTTTGGCATATGTTATCTCGTTCATTGTGGTGGATCATCATAGCTTTTCGCTGATACCAGTTTGGGCTTTACATTTAAAAACTAATAAATATGTTCCAGTTGAGTCAGATGGAAATTCTAGCAATTTGTTTAGCACAGTTGTCGAGTACTCATCACACAATTGGAGCATCTACTTGTCAGTTACTGTTCCTCAATCAAATAGTAGTTCTTCATACGATTTGGTCGTTTTCCAACTCCCTATGTCAAAGTCACTTGAGTTTTCTGTTATGGATCCTGATCGTAAAATAGCTAATTTTCTAAATTTCCGAAAAATACAGTCAAACAGTTTTAACCGAAAACCGGTCAGGTTGAAATCTTTGTTTTATAAAGGTAGTTTGGTAGGTTTTAGTTTGTTGCTAGGCATGTAATTTTTGGGTTTAGATCCATGTGGTTGTAGAATGTCGCAAAATTAGCTCTCCAGTGAACTCTTATGTTTTATTTGAGATTGCTGTGTACAATAGTCAGCTTAGAGAGACATGGAGGAGAGCTCTTTACCAAATTCTACTGGATGAGAACGCGCTAGACTTCAAATCAGTTCCTATCTCCTTATCACTTGATTTAACATGCGGTTTGGTTTATCCTAGACTTTGTGGGGTGATCTTTGTCGGTTTCCTGACAAATAAGTAAGTTTGATCATCTAAATTCTTCTTCTTGTAAGGATTGATATATGTCACCTAATGCCAGGGATTTCCCATTTTCTATTCTACTGAATTATGTTTAGAAATTTACAAAATGATCGTTTAAGTACGTCATGGCAAAACAAATGGTTTTGGCGTCCTAATCACTGATGGTATTAGGGTAGTTAGTGTCTAACTACGACAAATATTCCTTATCAATGCATTGATGGTATAAACATTGTTATGTTATTCACAAACAAGACTACATTATTAAGGAAAAAATCTAGTTTTCGGAACCCCTGAAACTGATGTTAGTGTTATTTAGTGTAGCCACCTTATTGATGATATGAATCCTGCTCACGAAAGCCGATTGAAATTTGACTTGCTACTGTGGAAACATTCACTTTGTGACTGAGACTAGCAACATGGTGGAACAATTTCGACAACTTTCCTGTTTACATCAATAACATGACGGTTAAGGATGAACCATAACAGAAAGTTCAGTGTTTAATTTGATTGTTCCAAAAACGGCTGCGATTTGTTTTAAAACCATCATGTAAGTAATGTTAAGACGGAGCGTCAAGTTAGATTTCGGAATACTTAATTGCGCGAAATTACATAATAATAACCACTGAAGCCTAAGGTTAATACCACTATGCTAGCGTACATGCAGTCCAGCACGAAGTCAGGTGCATGCTTCATTCAACCGCTGAAGCCTGGGGTAAATGCCACTAAGCCAGCGTGCATTCTTCATTATATATTTTTAGGTCGTGATAATGATCCATCCGCAGGTTCACCTACGGAAACCTTGTTACAACTTTTACTTCCTCTAAATAGTCAGATTAAGTCATCTCAGCATCAGTCGAGTGGCGAAGCCACTACAACGACACTAATCCAATCGGTAGTAGCGATCGGCGGTGTGTACAAAGGGCAGGGACATAATCAGCGCAAGCTTATGAGTTACATTTACCAGGAATTCCTCATTCACGGGGATTAATTGCAAACCCCAGTCACGAACTTGATAAAACAGTTTGCCCAACCCTTTCGGCCAGGTGGTCAGACTCGTTGGCACCGTCATTGTAGCGCACGTGTGTCTCCAGACATCTAAGGGCATCACAGACGCGTTATTGCTCAATTTCGTGCCACTTAAATATGACGCTTGTCCCTCTAAGAAGTAAAAAGTGGCACTGCACCCGCCGGCTCACGACCACACCACTCCATAAAAAGTAATGGAAGTTACGTCCTAAACGAGCACAGAGGACCAGTCTACTATTTATCAGGTTGAAGTTCTTGTTTGTCATCGGAATTAACCAGACAAGTCGCTCCACCAACTAAAAACGGCCATGCGCGTTTGGTGTGATCGTTAAGTACGTTCGCATCTATCCAACTGTAACAGGGTTGTTCATGACCAGGTTCAAGACAGAATCAATGCAGTTAAACCATGAGATAGGTTTTATCTGTTGGGTTGTTTTGTTTTAAAATAGATTCATTGCAAATTTGGAAGTACGTTTGTTTCGAATTTATTTAGATCGTACAAATAAACTTTTAAACTTTTTAGTCTGTGTCACGAGTTTATCCCCCTTATCTTGGTTTCTGTGATACTCAGCAACCGTGCACATACACTATTATGCTAAACTGCAAGCTTCAGGTTTATGTCATACTTATGTACTGGACAGTGATACTACTGTTGCAGAGGTAGAATTCAAACATTAAGAGTCGCCAATCCACTGCTGTTTATGGAATTAATTCGCTACTGTAGTTAAAGCACTTGGTTGGTTTGACCCCACTGAACTAAGACATAGTTGTTACTTTCTTTTGGTTTGGTCTTAGCATAATCATTTCCTGTATTATGAATCGTGTTTTGTGACTGTACGTATACTGTGTCAGATTAAAAACTGGTTTTAGAGGATAACGGTTGTTTAGTGTTGCAAAGCAATCTAGCGATTTTCCACTTTCAGATCTAAATGTCTGCTATATGCTGACTTGAGAGGCTTCTAATGGCCCTGCAGCTTTGCAACACTTAGCATCAATTTTCAGTTCAAATCGATCCCTTGAATTCTGTATACTGATCATCCATAGCTTTGCTTGATTAGTCATAAGGTGACCATCGAATCCCCAGTTTTGAATCTGTATTCCTTGGTCATGTCATTACAGTCTACGGAATTTTATAGATCCTAGGTTTAATCTAAAATGCTCGCGCATATCTATCATTTTGCTTCATATTTAAGTACTTCTGTATTAGAATTTCCAAATTTATAAAAACTGTATACTATGGATGTCAAAATGGGTTAATGTAGTTGAATTCCATGTAAATCAACACTTTCTAAGACTATTTGAACTTAAGGTCTTACCTTTAAATTCTCCTGAACGATTTCTGTCCTATTTAGCTACATACTGTTAAGATTTACGTGTTTTTATCAATGATAATCATTAGTACTAGATTAGATAACTTATATAGTCTCTGGTTATCTCATTTACAGAGATTATTTTTCATAGACTCAAATTAATGCTTTTTATACCTTATTCAAGAGCACATAGTACTTTCACAAAAAAACTAGTTATACAAAACCTCATCTTTGTTATATATCTTTAACTGTTCAAATATGTGTTGTACATTTATTTGTACTAAGGAACTATGATTTTTTGACCATATTAGAGTATGTAAATCAAGCTCATAACAGTGTTATGAGGTTGATGGCTAGGTGTTGTAATGATCGTACTTCAATTATATCCTGGTCCACTTCGTCAGGTTCATATCGTCCGCAGCTGATATAAATACACAAGTACGACAATTATTCACTAACTTCCAATGAACACGAAAGCTCACAGTTCTTTCTCTTATGAAAACACTTTTCAGTCCCACGGTGCAGAGTGCATAACCATTGTATAAATACCAATCAACAGTAAACGAATAACAAACCACCATAGTTTTTTCTGTGATCTACGTAAAAGTGTCTTAATGCGCTCATTAATTTAGAAATGACGAATATAACGTGCTTAACAAACAAATATGCTTATTTGTCTACTTAAGTGTACTAGTGTTTTTATTACTTCTTCTCACAGTTCTAATATATTTTTGAACATTCATTCATTCATCCTTAGTAGTCTGCATTATTCAAAGCAAAGGATCTTTTAAAGGCCGTAATTTTAGCAATATTTCATTTTATACAATTGTTTCTTCATCTTCCCTAGTATCAGCTTATCACATTACTCTACCATATCCCTTTCATTGGATGATGGGGAAATACTTTGGCACCATCTAGTTGGTGATTTTGAAGATTCGATAAAAGTAAGATAAGTTTGATTATAAAGTGCTATGTAAATAAACAGGTTAGTGTTCCTTTTTACACTGTCATTATTGGAAATGTGTAGATGTTTTTCAGCCTACTTTCACAACGTAGCACATAGCTTTATAATTTAAAATAGACTAAATTATTTCCACTGATAACTATCTCTTTCCATATAGGGGGTCGTGAAAATTGTTGAATTCCGTAGTTTTAGACCACATCCTGACTTTCTTGGATAACCATTGAAAAACAAGAAGCACTAGATAGACTATCTGTGAAACTCAAAATATTGCACAGTAAAAGTGTATACTTAATCCCTTGTTCACTACTGATCGTTTAGAATTTTACTTATAAAACTACTGATGTAGATTTTATTTATTGAGTTAAATTTTTAGTGGAAAATATGCATGTTAGGACGTTCCAAAATTAACGGAATTAATGACTTTGTTTACGCCTGTTACTCTTCATGGAGGAGCACAAGCCGCCCACAAGCATTATTATTATTATTATTGCTATTATTATTATTATTATTATTATTATTATTATTATTATTATCTGCTTTATTCAGTATTATATTTTTGGTACAATATAGAATTCTCAGCGCAAAGTATTTCAACAAGTTTCTGTTTCTTTCTTCTTGGTCGGTCCTGGCGATAAATATTGAGTGATCACCAGTTAGATGTTAGCACTTCAGTGAATGAACATCTGAATAATGTGCATTCTTTTCGTTGTATATTGCCAGCAACCACATTGTCTCTTATTGAGTTTTTTGTAACTTTGACAACGAAAGGTTGTACAATTTTCAGAAACGCAGCAGGATAGGTTATGCGATTAATAAACATAATGATATATTAAAACAAACAAAAATAGATAACTTGTTGAAATATCTAGATGGCAGGAACAGGTAGCCCAGATGCTCAAGCAGGCCGCCCTTTTCTCCACCCAACTCCAACTGGGCAATCCTTCTCGGTTGCTATTCATCATTTCGATGCCTGCTTCCAATATCCAACGCAATATGCTCTTTGGTCTTCCTCTTTTCCGTTTCCTTCCAGGATTCTAGTTAGCGCTTGCTTCATGATGCAGTTTGGTGATTTCCAGAATGTATATCTTATCCACTTCCATCATCTTTTCTTAATTTTCCCCTTAGCTGGGACCTGCTTTGTTCTCTCCCGACCAACGGATATTGAGTATAATGCGTAGACAATTGATTATGGTTGTGGTAGTTCTCCAAGTTTTAGCTCCGTACAATAGAACTGTCTTGGCGTCCGTATTGCAGATTGTGACTTTGATATTGGTTGACAGTTGTTTTGTGTCCCATATGTTGTCCAACTATACGAAAGCTGTCCTTTCTTTAGCATTCCTTGCCTTTAAGTCTGCATCAGATCCTCCTTGTTCATCGATGATGCTTCTCAGGTACGTGAATGTTTTCACCTCTTCCAGAGTTTCTCCATCAAGTGTAATTGGACTGGTGTTCTCCGTGTTGTATTTGGAGATCTTACTTTTTACCTTGTGTATGTTGGGGACTACTGATGCAGTGGCTACTGCTACACTGGTTCTATTGGTATGCATTCGCTCGTGTGTGTGTGGGATAGAAGAGCTAGGTCATCTGAAAAGACCATATCGTCTAGTTGCATGCAAGCTGTCCATTGTATTCCGTGCTTCTCCTCAGGAGTAGCTTACTTACTTACGCCTGTTACTCCTCGTGGAGGAACATAGGCCGCTCACCAGCATTCGCCATCCAACCCTGTCCTGGGCAATCCTTTCGAGCTCCTCCCAGTTGTTATTCATCCTTTTCATATCTGCTTCTATTATCCGACGTAATGTGTTCTTTGACCTTCCTCTTTTCCGCTTCTCTTCAGGATTCCAAGTTAGGGCTTGTCTCGTGATGCAGTTTGACGATTTGCGTAGTGTATGTCCTATCCATTTCCATCGTCTTTTATTAATTTCCTCTTCAGCTGGAAGCTGGTGTATTCTCTCCCACAAAAGGCTGTTGCTGATGGTATCCGGCCAATGGATGTTGAGCATCCTGCGAAGACAGCTATTTATGATTACTTGTACCTTCTTGATGGTGGTTGTAGTAGTTCTCCAGGTTTCAGCTCCATGCAGTAGAACTGCCTTGACGTTCGTATTGAAGATTTTGGCTTTGATATTTGTTGACAGTTGTTTTGAGTTCCATATATTCTTCAGTTGTAGGGATGAGGCCCTTACTTTGCCAATCCTCGCCTTTATGTCTGCATCTGAACCTCCTTGTTCATCGATGATGCTTCCCAGGCATGTGAGGGATTCTACATCTTCCAGAGTTTCGCCATCAAGAGTGATTGGATTGCTGTTCTCCGTGTTGTTTTTGAGGACCTTGGTTTTCCCCTTGTGTATGTTGAGGTCTACTGATGCAGAGACTGCTGCTACACTGTCTGTCTTTATCTGCATTTGTTCATGTGTATGTGATAGGAGGGCTAGGTCATCTGCGAAGTCCAAATCGTCCAATTGGTTCTGAGCTGTCCATTATATGCCGTGTTTTCCCTCAGATGTCGAGGTCTTCATAATCCAGTCGACCACCAGAAGAAAGAGGAAGGGAGAGAGTAGACAGCCTTGTCTGACTCCGGTCTTTACTTGGAATGCATCTGTCAGCTGCCCTCCATGCACGACCTTGCACTGTAGTCCGTCGTATGAGTTCCGGATAATGTTGACAGTCTTTTCAGGAACTACATAGGGTCGAAGAATTTTCCATAACGTTCTCCTATCTACACTGTCAAATACCTTTTCATAATCAATGAATTTGATGTACAGTGACGAGTTCCACTCAATTGATCGTTCGACGATGATGCGTAGTGTCTCCATCTGGTCGGTGCACGACCGATCCCTACGGAATCCAGCTTGTTGATCTCGAAGTTGAGCGTCTACTGCGTCTTTCATCCGGTTCAGCAACACTCTGTTAAAGACTTTCCCTGGTACTGACGGTAGTGTAATGCGCTTGTGGTTTTCATATTTGCTCATATCTCCTTTCTTCGGAATCTTGATGAGGTGTCCTTCTTTCCAGTCCATCGGGACTTGTTCCTCCTCCCAAATCCTTTTGAGTAAAAGGTGAAGCATGTTTGTAGTTACTTCGATGTCTGTCTTCAGTGCTTCAGCTGGTATATTGTCGGGTCCTGCTGCTTTCCCGCTCTTGATTTGTCTGATGGCCACTCTGATTTCTTTGGTCGTTGGTGGATTGACATCTATAGGATGATCTGTGTGTGCTGCTTCGATGTTCGGTGGATTCATTGAAGCCGACCCATTCAGGATTTCCTCGAAGTATTCTACCCATCTGTTCCGCTGTTGCTGAATTTCAGTGATTGGCCTGTCTTCTTTGTCTTTGACCGGTCTCTCTGTTTACTATATCTCCCTGCTAGTTTCTTCGTTGTATCGTAAAGCTGTTTCACATTTCCTTCACTTGCACCTTTTTCCACTGTCGTTGCTAGTTCTTCCACTCATTTCTTGTCGGCTTTAATGCTCTTCTTCACTTGCTTGTTTGCTTCTATGTATTCAGCTTGTGCTTGGACTTTCTCTGCTCGTGTTCGGCTGTTGTTAATTGCTGTCTTCTTGTTCTTCCTTTCTTTGATCCTGTCCAGTGTTTCTATAGAGATCCATTCCTTATGATGATGCTTCTTGAGGCCCAGAACCTCCTGACACGTTGAAGTTAATGCTTCTTTGATACCTTTCCAGTTGTCCTCCATAGTAGTTTCTTCTTCTTTCAGTAGATCCTGTAAGGCTTTGAACCCGTTGAGAGCTATCTTGAATTCATTGAGTGTGTCAGTATCTCGAAGGAAGGCTGTATTGAACCTTTGTAGTACTGTTTGTCCAGTTGTCCAGTTCTTTTTCAGCTTCAGTTTTAAATTGGCTACAACTAGGTGGTGATCTGAAGCTATGTCAGCACCTCTCCTGGTTCTCACATCCTCCATTGTCCTTCGGAATTTTTGTTGATGCAAATATGATCTATCTGGTTCTCTGTAGTGTGGTCCGGCGAGATCCATGTAGCCTTGTGTATACGCTTGTGTGGAAATATTGTGCCTCCAATGACCATTTTGTTGAATGCACATAGATTTGCAAATCATTCCCCATTTTCGTTTCTCTCACCCAGTCCATGTCGTCGCATGATATCTTCATATCCGGTGTTGTCTATTCCGACTTTGGCGTTTAGATCTCCCATCAGAATGGTGAGGTCCTTTCTTGGGCACTTCTCTATGATTGATTGCAGCCTCTCATAGAATTGATCTTTAATGTCGTCGTTGCTATGATTGGTGGGTGCATAACATTGAATGATATTCATTGTGATCCCCTCATTCTTTGTTTTGAATGATGCTTTGATAATTCCCATCCTACAAGTGCATTTCATGCTACTTTGGATAGCATTAGAGCAACCCCCTGAGTGTGTGGAGCATTTTCCTCTTCGTGACCGGAGTACAGCAGTATCTCTCCCGTATTTAGCTTTTCTTGTCCAGCTTGGTTCCAATGGGTTTCGCTGATTCCCAGTACTGCCAAGTTGTATCTCCTCATTTCCATTGCTATTTGACTGGTCTTCCCGGTCTCCCACATTGTCCGTACGTTCCATGTACCTATAAAAATTTTGCTCTAGTTGTTAGAAGGGGCATCGGCCTCGTGGCTTCCGAAGGAGCTCGGTTTTCACCATGAGGCGTATAACTCTTCTAAATGAAGACCTTCTAACTCCCAGGGCAGAGTTTAAATGGTTTGAATTATTTGTTTCTGGTTAGCGTATTTTAGCGAGTTAGTTTTCTACGGGATGGGGTCGCTAACCCAATGCCCAACCATCATCGTCTACCTGAGCTTGGGACCGGCAGTAACTCTAGAAGAGCTAGAGGTGGAGTTCCTCAGAAGTAGTGGTCTTCATAATCCAGTCAACTACCAGAAGAAAGAGAAAGGGGGAGAGTAAGCAGACTTGACTGACACCGATCCTCACTTGGAATGCGTCTGTCAGCTGTCCTTCAAGCACGATTTTTCAGTGTAGTCCATCGTATGATTTGCGATTGATTCTGACGATTTCCACAAATACACTATAGATTCGAAGAACATCACATAATAATCTTCTATCCACGCTGTCAAATGCTTTCTCATAATCAAGTTAGTTGATGTGTGTTGACGAGTTCCACTCAATCGATTGTTCAACGGTGATCCGTAGTGTTAGGATTTGGTCTGTGCACGATCGATCCCTACGGAATCCAGTCTGTTGATCTCGAAGTTGGGTGTCTACTGAATCTTTCGTCTGGTTCAGCAACACTCTGTTAAAGACTTTCCCTGGTACTGACGGTAGTGTAATGCGCTTGTGGTTTTCATATTTGCTCATATCTCCTTTCTTCGGAATCTTGATGAGGTGTCCTTCTTTCCAGTCCATCGGGACTTGTTCCTCCTCCCAAATCCTTTTGAGTAAAAGGTGAAGCATGTTTGTAGTTACTTCGATGTCTGTCTTCAGTGCTTCAGCTGGTATATTGTCGGGTCCTGCTGCTTTCCCGCTCTTGATTTGTCTGATGGCCACTCTGATTTCTTTGGTCGTTGGTGGATTGACATCTATAGGATGATCTGTGTGTGCTGCTTCGATGTTCGGTGGATTCATTGAAGCCGACCCATTCAGGATTTCCTCGAAGTATTCTACCCATCTGTTCCGCTGTTGCTGAATTTCAGTGATTGGCCTGTCTTCTTTGTCTTTGACCGGTCTCTCTGTTTACTATATCTCCCTGCTAGTTTCTTCGTTGTATCGTAAAGCTGTTTCACATTTCCTTCACTTGCACCTTTTTCCACTGTCGTTGCTAGTTCTTCCACTCATTTCTTGTCGGCTTTAATGCTCTTCTTCACTTGCTTGTTTGCTTCTATGTATTCAGCTTGTGCTTGGACTTTCTCTGCTCGTGTTCGGCTGTTGTTAATTGCTGTCTTCTTGTTCTTCCTTTCTTTGATCCTGTCCAGTGTTTCTATAGAGATCCATTCCTTATGATGATGCTTCTTGAGGCCCAGAACCTCCTGACACGTTGAAGTTAATGCTTCTTTGATACCTTTCCAGTTGTCCTCCATAGTAGTTTCTTCTTCTTTCAGTAGATCCTGTAAGGCTTTGAACCCGTTGAGAGCTATCTTGAATTCATTGAGTGTGTCAGTATCTCGAAGGAAGGCTGTATTGAACCTTTGTAGTACTGTTTGTCCAGTTGTCCAGTTCTTTTTCAGCTTCAGTTTTAAATTGGCTACAACTAGGTGGTGATCTGAAGCTATGTCAGCACCTCTCCTGGTTCTCACATCCTCCATTGTCCTTCGGAATTTTTGTTGATGCAAATATGATCTATCTGGTTCTCTGTAGTGTGGTCCGGCGAGATCCATGTAGCCTTGTGTATACGCTTGTGTGGAAATATTGTGCCTCCAATGACCATTTTGTTGAATGCACATAGATTTGCAAATCATTCCCCATTTTCGTTTCTCTCACCCAGTCCATGTCGTCGCATGATATCTTCATATCCGGTGTTGTCTATTCCGACTTTGGCGTTTAGATCTCCCATCAGAATGGTGAGGTCCTTTCTTGGGCACTTCTCTATGATTGATTGCAGCCTCTCATAGAATTGATCTTTAATGTCGTCGTTGCTATGATTGGTGGGTGCATAACATTGAATGATATTCATTGTGATCCCCTCATTCTTTGTTTTGAATGATGCTTTGATAATTCCCATCCTACAAGTGCATTTCATGCTACTTTGGATAGCATTAGAGCAACCCCCTGAGTGTGTGGAGCATTTTCCTCTTCGTGACCGGAGTACAGCAGTATCTCTCCCGTATTTAGCTTTTCTTGTCCAGCTTGGTTCCAATGGGTTTCGCTGATTCCCAGTACTGCCAAGTTGTATCTCCTCATTTCCATTGCTATTTGACTGGTCTTCCCGGTCTCCCACATTGTCCGTACGTTCCATGTACCTATAAAAATTTTGCTCTAGTTGTTAGAAGGGGCATCGGCCTCGTGGCTTCCGAAGGAGCTCGGTTTTCACCATGAGGCGTATAACTCTTCTAAATGAAGACCTTCTAACTCCCAGGGCAGAGTTTAAATGGTTTGAATTATTTGTTTCTGGTTAGCGTATTTTAGCGAGTTAGTTTTCTACGGGATGGGGTCGCTAACCCAATGCCCAACCATCATCGTCTACCTGAGCTTGGGACCGGCAGTAACTCTAGAAGAGCTAGAGGTGGAGTTCCTCAGAAGTAGTGGTCTTCATAATCCAGTCAACTACCAGAAGAAAGAGAAAGGGGGAGAGTAAGCAGACTTGACTGACACCGATCCTCACTTGGAATGCGTCTGTCAGCTGTCCTTCAAGCACGATTTTTCAGTGTAGTCCATCGTATGATTTGCGATTGATTCTGACGATTTCCACAAATACACTATAGATTCGAAGAACATCACATAATAATCTTCTATCCACGCTGTCAAATGCTTTCTCATAATCAAGTTAGTTGATGTGTGTTGACGAGTTCCACTCAATCGATTGTTCAACGGTGATCCGTAGTGTTAGGATTTGGTCTGTGCACGATCGATCCCTACGGAATCCAGTCTGTTGATCTCGAAGTTGGGTGTCTACTGAATCTTTCGTCTGGTTCAGCAACACTATCGAAAACTTCTAGTGATACCGATAGTACTGCGATGCCTCTGCAGTTCTCACATTTGCTTAGATCTCCTTTCTTTTGTATTTTGATGAGGTCTCCTTCCTTCCAGTTTATCAGCGTCACTTGTTTCTCATCGAAAATCTTCGTGAATAGAGTGTGGATCATGTTTGCAGTTGCTTCTATGTCTGACTTCAGTGCTTCGGCTGGTATATTGTCAGGTCGTACTGATTTCCCACTCTTGATTTGTCTGATGGCCATTCTGACTTTTGATCGTTGGTGGAGTGACCTCTGTTGGAGGTCTGTGTGTGCTGCTGCTATGTTTGGTGGGTTCAGTTGAGCTGGACTATTCAAGAGTTCAAATTGTTCTGACCATTTGTTCCTCAGCTCTTGAATCTCAATGTTCTAACCTGTTCGTTCGGGTTGAACATATTTCCCTGCTGGTCTTTTCGTCGGATCGTATCTTTGTTTCATATTCCTTTTTATGCTATCATTGTTATGTCTTGCACATATTTGCACTTACCAGCTCTAACGCTCTTTTCACTCGTTTTTTGCCTCTATGTATTTAGATTGTTTCTGACTTTCTCTGCTGTTAAACCACACGTATGACGCTTGAGTTTGTAAACCAGAGTAAGTAGAATAGATCTCGACTTGGAATCTATTTGACTGTCCAGGGATCTTGGTACCTGCGTCGTAGCCCCATAGAATTGAGCTATTCTGTTCAGTTCTTAGTGTAAAAGCTTGGATAGTTTCTGGTTCTCCTGAAAACCAACGTAAAATTATTCTCTTGCAGAGTGTATTTGTATAATTGTAATCCACTAGTTATGAGTGAATATCTTGAAATATTAGATCATGGACTGAATACTACTTAGAATGAATACTAATCAGTAATAGTGTTTAAATCTATGACGTATCAAATAATTCTACGTAATATTGTTCTTCCCTGTGAATTATCGATTGAATAGGTGATTTTGATGAAAGTAAATTGCATCACTGTATAATACACGTCATTTTTTTCAACGTAGGCTTATGAAAGTGATTTAGTTTTGAAGAACTGGAAAATACGCATTTCGAAACAATATCTGTTTAGAACACATATTGATGAATCCCCGTGGACCGAATTTACTGAAAGTCTCTCCCACATTTTCGTAAGTTTTATTACTATAATTCTATTACTAAGCTTGTTATTCGACTTCATTTACTATGAATCTTGTTTATTAGTTTTTAAAGAAGGAAACCTTGTTATAGGATTTCTCAGAAGAGCCCAGATCTTTGAATATTGTGTTCACGTTTCAAAGTCTCATCAATCCAAGTCGTGGTATTTTTATAAAGAGGTTACCACAAGTTCACTAATGCAAGTGAATAACTTTGTCTCTTACAATGCCTTTTTAGACCTTTTAAGATTCGATTTCTTGAGTTTTACTCCTGTAACTTCCCTCCTGAACGAGTCAACCTGGTTGTGTTCATTCATTTGTCATTTTGAGATGAGACTATATGGCTGATTCTTTTGTGTAGGTTTCGCTGAATATATGTTACGTGTTGTATGGAGAGAGGTTTACTTGGGTGAGCGACATGGGTCGCCAACTGTTTAATGTACTTGTTGGTGACTTAAGCGAATTATTTTATTTATTAGCCCTCCTCACTAAACAATCTTTGTCTCTAATATAGCATATTTATTACTAAACGTAAGATATGCATAATATATTTTATTTTGTGCGTTGAGTATTTAACTAGCCTCAATTCCTTATTTATCATTTGTAGCCTGTTCGTTGGTATGGTGTGGGTAGTTGTGAAATTCGCCTTGTATATGCAAAGAAACACTCAGAATATCCTGTAGAAAAGTCTCTGCGTACCCCAAATGCAATTGCTGTGATCCATCAATCAGGTCTAGATCTTCTAGATTTAAAATCTGGTCATCCGCTTATGACTATTACTTTAAGATGGAGTGAGTAAAGAGCTTACTGGTTTTTTCTTGGAAGAATTGTTGCGATGTCAGAATATGACCATGTTTGGTTATTCCTTAGCATAGACCTCACGATATTGCTGAGAAACTGCATTCTAGGTTCGTTGAATCAAAGTTTGATAATGGTTACCTTTCAACTGAGATAAGAGATTAGATTTTACTTAACAAGCTATTAAAAACTACTAAAGGTTATCTTAATATTTTTTAACTGAACACTAGTATTGGTTTTTTTCAGTCATCCATTTGTCTACAAAATTAATGTTAAACTTCGCATTTGTAAATTTGAAGACGTTTAAGCTGTAAATAGTTAACAAAGTGGTAAGGAAAAAGTAGTTCTAAACATTATATACTTTGCAAGCCATTAGGCAGGCAGAAAACTACACATAACTGGAAAAACAGTGAGCCTCTAATAGTACCACACTTTCGAAGATCATTTTCTGCCAAAAATATATCTAATCGATGCTATGCATTTCGTCTTTAAACAAATATCAAACGCGATATTGAAGACACTTATTTTGTGCTATTTAAATTTTATTAGTTTGAGAAAAATATAATAGAACGTCCTACTTATGTACGCTTTCCTATTTTAGAGATCGGATCAACTTATACTATTCTCTCTACTCCGGTATCTGATGGTCTGATTAGTCGCCAGCTTGGATCGCCTACAATTTATGAACTACGAATTGCTTCAGAAATTACGGATTCCCCATCAAATGGTTTGAAGATAAAAGTGTATTCTAGTTCTGACCATGTTAATTCATCTCTGGAGAGTGACTTTTCACATACTGTCGACTGTCAGGGTATATTCATCCGTCACGAATCTGCACCTAACAACTGGCAAGCAGTCAAATCGTTTTACTCAAACGAAATGATTGCAATTCATTCATCCACTTATCATGGTTTGTGTCGTCCTTTCAGAATGTGGGAGTATTCCAGACTAGGTAGATCTAATTGGCAAGAAGATTCAAGAAAATCTACTCCACCAGTTGTGGTGAAAAGGTAGTTTTAAAAGTCGTTTTTATGTGCTTTTATTTAAAGTGACACGAATCAAATTAATGAATCAAGTTAATGGCTTATAAAACTTGCTGGTTCGGTTATGAATTAGTCATATCATTACTAGGTTTTCAACAACGTTTCATCTTTTGACTATAAATTCCAATGCTTTAGTCAGTCATAATCAAAATATAGCGCGGCATAAATATACGTTATCCCAAGTTGCCATACCATATCAGGATGATAAGATGAAATCAATAAGTAGCAAACAAACCAAAATAATGTAATAGTGATGACCATGAGAACGATCCAACATTGAGAATATGATTCAAGAAGACAGAATAAAAATGGTATACATAGAAGATTTAGAGGAGGATAAACGATAAATATGTGTCATTGTGACCAATTCTGAGTCGTCTCTCCTAAAGTCTCTAACCCTTGATCTCAGTTGTGTGTCCACCTTCTAACATACTTCATAGGTTGTTTTGTTTGGCCACCTGTAGCGTTTTTCCAACCTACCTTTACTCCATCCAGCATTGCACATTGATTTAGTTTGTGCTTAGGCGCACATAACATATGTCTCAGCCATATCAATCTATGAAGATTCATAGCCTCATTAACTAATTTGGCGCCTTTAACACTACTTTTGGCTTTTGATAATCCTTTATAACCATGGTTCTAGAGCTTATGACTTCTTTTTGTGCTAGATATTTGTGGCATAGATTTCGAATATAATCAACACTAAGACAGAATTTGTTTAGTTCAATGAAGTTAGAAAGGTTCATTAACTAAGAAATAGGTCGATGAAGTTGACTTTATCAGACAAATTTGTTTCATCTATTCCTGTCATATTGTTTCTGCTTAATGATTTCTCATTCTGTGAAAACACTTTATGTTGTTGGTTGATACCTGATTTATTCGGCACCATTTAGGTAAGAGACTGAGTAACGTTTTTTACTAATTTGCTGAAAAGACTTTATTAACCAACTAAATATAGACGTTAAGTGTTCGCGCGCGAGATCGAAGGTCTTGGGTTCAATTCTTGTGTGCAGGGTCGTAAATTCGAACTGATGAGAAGTCCCATACGAAGACAAAATGGCCGGTTAGTGCTCCCAAGTTTTCAGTGGTGGTCTAATTGAAACATTGGTTCATAATTTAAATGAAATTCAATCATCTTCACGACCCCATTCTGATAAATATAAAAGTTATTATTAAGATGATGATTTGATTAAAACATACATTTTAACAGTCCTACATATTTATTTCTTAACGGTTATCAAAAATGCATGCTACCAGTGAATTCTGTTGTAAAACATAGTGGTCTTATATTTTATAACTGACATCAATCATGAATCAGGCTAAATGTTAAGGCTTGTTTAAAATATAATGTTTATTTTCTGATGACTTGAATAAATTCTGATGACTTAGTGAATACTTCACTCAACATACGGTTTGGATTATCTCACATCTTTAATTGCATTCGTGAATGGATAGAGGTTTAAAGTAAAATAAATTTTCTAGTGTTCTATTAGACAATACAATATACAGCTCGACATTCTTTTATTTTTGTCAGTTCAAGACTAATCATAGCAACTCAGTCGGGTTGTGTACTCACTTTATTTACCATGATCTAATAATAAGATCGATATTATTTGGGAAAATGCCCTTAAGAATAAGGTAATGAGTAGATGGAGACTATCATCGTTTTCGCTCAATGAATCTTCATTTCGTTTGGGCGCCTACTAAGCCTCATCGTCCCACACACAACTGAGTTAATGCAGCCGAACTTAAGTGATAACTATTATTAAGCGAAGTGAGTTGTCTCTATTTTCATTTATCGGTATTAAAATGGTCATAAACCTATGTAACGATTAGTGTACGCCACTTGATCTCTTATTTTTCCTCTATTTTTGATGTACAGACATATTCCATTATCAGGCTTAGCTAGATTATGGTATTCGTTGATGCATGATAAATTTGATGAATTCAATCATTACGGTATGAATCAAGATTTAAGCCATACAAGTGATCATGAACATCACGACATTTACTTTTTAACTTCGGATGGAATTATTACTTCTGTATCGAACTATGGGTATGAAAACTGGCGCGTAAGTTAGTATATTGTTTGGTGCTAGGTTCTAATGTGTCACTTCCCAAATTGATCTTCACCACAGTATGAATAGAGATGAAATTAAGATATTTGAGCAGAGACCATATATATTAATATTGTTTAAACAATTGATCAGTGTTCGTTTTGAAAATGATAGTTCATTGTTCTTGTTCCACCGGATGTACCTGCATCCCAGAGTTGATGTTCACTCAAAGACTCGAATCCAGTTCTGCACATCAATAGGAAGATCCAAGCAACCAATACAAAATGAATTAATCCTCACTTCATTGCACAAGCTAGTGGTTATCTAGACTCAGTAGCTAAATGGATAATGTGATGGTGTTTGAAGCGAACAGTGCTGGGTTCGAGTCTTGGAGTGGACATCAACTCTGGGATTCAGGTACATAAAGCTGATGAGTCCGAAATAGGGCGGAACACGCATCCTGGATTTCACTGCTAGCCACTACGATCTTAGCTTATAATGCTTGTGACTGAAAGCAATATCGAGACAATCCGTACAAGATGCACATATGCCCAATGAGAGACTGATCAATCGCAGTCCTAAACATCAATGGGAGGATTTATGCAATCAATACAAAAATGAACTAAGTGCTTTATATGTTTTGTATTCTGTCATTAATCATAAGCATTTCTGGCGATATTACGGTTAGTTTCTTCCACAAAAGGGATAGGCTAGTTTTATTTGACAACCCATTATTTCTAGTGATTTATAGTTGAAATTGTAATGAGTTGAACAGATTGTAGTGAGGTGGCCCGTTGATCTGACTCCATTTAGATCGTATAAATGATTGTTATCACCTATTCTCGTATATCATCGTCGACTTAAATCGCGTTAGCCAATAACGGAATTAAATAAGTCGAATAACGAGAATTGATTTGAGAACACATATATTTCGTACATGAAGCGAATGAAGCATAGCAAAGCAAAAATGACGCGTATGGAAGATGGCTGGGAAGCCAACTCCATTTTAATTAAGCGTTATTCCATATTTATAGTCAGACAAAATAAGCTACAGACATACAGTGAGTCATGGGACATGAAGTGTACACACATATACGCTCATGTGAAAACAGTCAAGGCTAATAAGCGAATAATTGACAAGGTCAAAATATGGCTCAAGTAAAATGAATAAAATAGGATGTCCGGAAGTTAGAATAAGGTATATGGGCTTGCCATAATAACTGACACTACATAGCCCCCTTGTAGAAAATAGCACATTTAAAAAATGTCTGTTTTCGAAAATAACACTGAAGTGATATGAAGTTAACGCTAACACTAAGTAGCCAAAAAATTGTACAACACTCAATAAAGTACAGTGTCACATGAGGGGTGAGTGTATTATATGAAAATGTCATGCTTATGCAAAAGAATACATGAATATCGCAAAGGCTCGGACAAAAATGAAAATGTTTGCATGTGAATATGAGCAAATTAAAGAGCGTACAAAAAAATTAACATCTAATTCTATGACTGTCTGAACGATAAAATAACATGTTTGTATGAGTGATTCAAAGTATCGTGAAAATAGTAATAAATTGTTTGTAGGTATAACAGCGAAATAAGTCGTCAAAATGGCTAGAGTAGAATATGACAAATTGGTCTGTGATGCTGACAAAATAGTGAAATATGCGAAATATATGTTCTGTTGAGCCGCAGCAGAATAAATCGCATTGACTAGTGATGAGTGAATTCGAATTTAAATGCGTAGGATGATAATAGGAAAGTCGTGAAATGATATCTGCATCGATGGGTGATATTCGTTGCTGTACTGCAATTGATAATAATCATAAAATTTGAAGTCAGTGGACGTTGTCGTCTGCGTTATGACAGATGCATCGAGTTATCGTTGAATATGTATTAGTAGAAGAATGACCAGAGGAACAGAATAGTGACTGAGTAGACGAGGTACGTAGAGTCGTATTCCTTTTTGGTCATGAAGCCTAGAGTGGTTTGTGTGGTTTGAGGGAGATGCGCTCGATCTCGTTCGTTACAAAACCGTACCAAGGCATGACAAAAATACCAATACATATGATTAGTGATGGCGACGTATGAGACTGACTTAGATGTGACGAACAAGAGTGTATCTTTGAGAGGCTAGCTCTAAACTCTATGTTCTGATATGCAGTGCGATGGAAATAGAACAGTAGTTGCAGTACTCGAATAGCGTTTTTGAGTGATAAGTGATGCAGCATGTGGTTATGCACGTGGAAGAATAGATAAAATGAACGCAATGGTTACTAGTCAGCTAGTTAGATGCATACACAGACATAATAGGAGGCGATTTCGAAATGAAAAATGTATGTTGTGATAACATAAATTGCGGACCTCGACTAAGTGAATGAATGTAATATTAGATCAAAATGACATGAAAAAAAATTGGAACGAACTCACTTAAAGCAGGAAAATTTCACGTTTTTGAATAGTAAAAATATCCTAATGAGTTCTCACAAAGTGGAGTGGAATTTTCATAAAATGATAATTTGTTCGGTGAGTAATATGATTGCGAAAATGTCATAATTTAATGACAGCACGAACAAGATTAATAATTCCACATTCGGTCATGATATTGATAATAATGTAATAATAAGCATATAATGATAATTTGAATCGTAATGGGACAATCCGAAAAATGTATCAATGAGGATAATTGACATGAGGACAAAGTATCGATAAGATAATACGACTTGAGCATGTCCATGTCATGTTGCACAGGCTGTGCTGATTGCGTCGGATTGGAGATTGCGCTGGCTTCGCTGAATATGTTCGTCGAACGTATAGAGTGCAGAAGTGCCTTCATCGACGTAGCTTGCTGCGTTGCGTTCGTCGTCGGCGGGCTTACCAATGAGGATGCATGTTCGCATGCTAAGCGAGCGAGAGCCATAACAAAGCAATTTTGACACGTACTGGAAGATGGCTGGGAAGCCAACTCCATTTTAATTAAGCGTTATTCCATATTTATAGTCAGACAAAATAAGCTACAGACATACAGTGAGTCATGGGGCATGAAGTGTACACACATATACGCTCATGTGAAAACAGTCAAGGCTAATAAGCGAATAATTGACAAGGTCAAGATATGGCTCAAGTAAAATGAATAAAATAGGATGTCCGGAAGTTAGAATAAGGTATATGGGCTTGCCATAATAACTGACACTACAGTAGCATGCTGTTAGTATAATAAATAAATAGTGATTTCGATCAGGAATCATTTTGAAATCTTTGTAACTTCATTAATAAATTTCAGCGGACTTTTCAATTTGCTTAATAAGTGCTGTTACTAACGATAAGAATGATCATTTTCAGTGCTGTTTTCAATTTTCCTTTGTAAGAAAGAACAAAACCTAAAATTTTCTTGCTATTGTTGAGTTGCTTTGTTGCTTATTTTTACCGAGGATTTTTGTTTTATTCATTTACCAGTTGCTGTCATCTTACTTAAACATCATATTCTCGAAATAAAGTGTTTCTTCAGTTTGGTAGTATTGTGGTGTATACTACTTATGTTGACAAATGTAAGTAGTATGTAACTGATCAGAAGTGAAATGCCTGGGATCCGAAGGTTGAGAAGATCGAATTGAAGAAAACAGGAATGTAAACAAGGATTAATTGTAGTGAAAACGAGAATGAAGGAAAGATGAAGCATTATGAATCTTTTCCCCCAAATTGACCATTTGTTCTTGTTGCATTCAAATCATTGTCTTCAAAATTGTTTGTAGGTAAATTCTGAAGTCTCCTGGTTACAAGTTTCACGAACCTTAGGAACACTTACGTCTCATGGAGAGGAAAGATCTGTTGATAAGCATTTAGATGATCTGTACATAGAACACTTTCATCCCTCGTTAACTACAATCAATCTTGCATCTTTAGGACAAGGATTTGTTCGTGATCTTAGAGTATTTTCCAAGATAAAGGTAGGTTCATATGATTTAAAAAATACCAAAAGCTTGTTGTTGAAAAACCTCTCATTTTCTATTATAACTGCCCACCAGCGTAACGAGGTCAAATCACTTTGACTGTGTTTGTATTTATGTCATCTAAACACTGACTTACAATAAAGGTAATATCCAATCACAATGAAGTCTATTCAGATTCTGGATAGTGTTGCCTGCTGACTGTATATATCAGTAGATGTATTTCTATTTACTCACTTTTTGATTTAATTTCTTTGTTAATCAGTGGGTTAGTTTGCTTTTTTAAAATTCTATCTCCGACATCTGCTTAAGTAGTTATGATTATTTGATATTTATCTGCTCTGTTGTTTGATTTAGCTCCATGTGCTTGTAGTTCAGAGTATAGGTGTTCAAATTGAATCGGCATTTACGATTAAATTTTAATTGCTAATATTTTCATTGTCGAGCTAAAAATCATCATCGGTGATACCGTTTTAGTGAATAAAGTTTACTCAATTGGATGAAAATCCAAGTGTATAACTTATTCAATCTATACTTTTCTCTTCATGGAGGGGTAATAATTCTTTTCTACTGTACTGTAATTGTTAACCAGTCTTCCAGTTATGTGAAGCCTTTAAAAGTGGGGATTTGTAGCTCAGGTTGATGATTTTGGTGGGGTTTGTTCTATGAGCTGGATGGTTCGGCCGTCGAGCTGTCATCGTTCTTCTGAACAGCGCCATCAGTAACAACTTCACGTAGATGTGCTCGGATTTTTCCACATATGACTCACAGCTTGTCCTGTAGACCTAGATTTGGACCTTTAATCTCTCATTGTTTACTTTATTTTGATTGTATATCCTATTGATTTGATTATTTTTCATATATTTGTCCGTGATTTTTCTGATCTGTTGATAGATTGGATTGATTTTAATGTGTTTGTTGATTGCTGATTGATATGAGTTCCAAGCTTCTAAAAATTCCTTGGTGTTTTTAGGATTCTTTCTATCCAAGATCTCGACATTCAGATTGTGCTGATGATGTTCAGAAGAACGATGACAGCTCCACGAATAAACCATCCTGCTCAGAGAACGAAACTCCACCATGAGCCTTTAAAAGTAGATTTCCAGAAAAGGTTTGAGGATCGCGTTGAGAATTCGCCTATTGGTTTTGAGTTTTAGCTTGAAATTACTAATTCAATTTCTATTATTAAAGTGTAACTTCTAAGTAAAAAACGTATATATGTTTATTGTTGTGACTTGAGACACTAATTGATATCACATGCTAAATTTACCAGCTACAATCCTGACTAGAGTTTTTTGTTAGTGCGTCTACTATTCAGTTTATATCCTAGCGTCCTTCGTTTAACTAACTATACGTTCTGACCCGCACAGTTAACTCTGTGCCGTCGAAAGCTACGCTTCTATTGGTCCGCTATCCAGAAACCTTTCACTATCCCCTGCCTTAAGTCTGGAGAGCAGTTAGCAGTCAGCTTCTAGCATACCCACATTTTAATCATCCAGCCCTGCCAGCCAACACAATCAAGAACTTTCTCAAACACCCACTGGCCTATGTACACGAGTTGTCAAACTGCACAACATACCAAATAAAAAAATCACACTAAATACAATTATACTATAAGCAGTAAAGAGCGAGACACACAGTACATAGTTAGCAATAATTAAGGAATGGTAAAACGTTTAACGAAAATTAGTAGATCCATTGGAAGCTTATAATGAAGAAAACGTAGAAATACAATAATATAGTTATTCACTGATCATACAGTAAAAGCGTGTATAATAATTCGAAAAATTGTTTCACAAGTTCCAACTTTTCCAGTATTCGTTTCATTTACAGTGAAAATGATTTTTGTATCCAATTAATAATGGAACATCATATATATTACCTGGTCTAATCTGTATGCGAAATTGTGAGGATGTATATCGGTACCTAGGATTTAGTTTTATCATGTTTTAGACAACTTATTAAATACAGGTGCATTTGTTCTGCCTCGAGCTATACCTTTTTTTCGTTCAGTTTAGTAATATTGGTATCCAATCAAAACGGTGGGAGCGAAGAAAGCGAGCTGACATTAAACCGGCTGTGTCTGATTTTCCCTGTCTTTTTACCTCTACGACTGATCAATACGTAGTTTTTTAAACGTATAGTTTAATGATGAGTCTACCTTCAAAATGTATTGTAATTTTTCGAATTTGGTAACAACTTGTTATTTCTATTTCTCCAGTGCGCCATTTTTCACTCGCTCTTGCTCTTGTGAACCAGCAATACTAGCTGCTTATTTAGATTGATCTTTCATCTGCAGCTTTATAGTTGATAGCTGAGTATGCTAAACACCAAGCAATGCTTTATCATACCATCTCAATCGATATCAACCAATAATAGATACCTTCATTGATGTCGAGCTTATGATTTTACTAATATTCCTTAATTGTTGTATTTCCAGCCTACAATACCTACTATGCCATTATTGGTTTCTACTGGATGGGATTCTGTTGGTGTTGTTGATCGAACTAATGGTAAATTATTGGCTGCTCATCGACTCCCAACTCAACCAACTGGTCAACCAATTGTTATTTCACTTGCACTATCCAATACAACTAAATTTTCAGAAGTTGTAAATGTTCCTACTATATTGTTGGTTCCATGTAATGATATGTACGTGTTGTTCTGTAATTAAATGTCTTTTAATGCAAAAAACATAACATCATTAGATGCTTTACTATCGAATTTCATCGAATATTTTTGTTTGGATAACTCTACCTGTAGTTCATCTGAGGTTACCACCGGTCCCATGCCCACACAAAGGAGGAGGGTTGGGAATGGGGTCAGCAACCACATCCCATAGAAAACAATCTTGCTAATAAACACTAACCAGAATAAACAAATTAAATCACTTAAACTCTACCCTCCGAGTTGAAGGGTCTTCATTCAGAAGAATTATAACACCTTATGGCAAAAGCCGAGATCCTTCAGAAGTCACGAGACAGAATCCCTTCCTAACAACCACAGCAACAATTAATGTAGGTACATGGAATGTTCGGACAATGTGGGAGACTGGGAGTACCAATGAAATAGCTGTGGAAATGCGGAGATATAACTTGACGGTTCTCGGAATCAGTGAAACCTATTGAACCTAGTGTGGACAGGAAAAGATAGATTCGGTAGGGATGTTGCTGTACTCTGGTGACGAAGAAGAAAATGCTGCACACACTGAAGGAGTTGCTCTGATGCTTTCAGGAGAAGCTCGTAAAAGACTTATAGGATGGGGATCTCTTGGATCCAGGATCAACAAAGCATCTTTGAAAACAAAGAGGGAGGGAATCACAATGAAGACGGCAATCAGCAACAGTCGAACAATAACGGAGAAGGTCAAGGTACAGACCGAATACACAGAAGCAAATGAGCAAGTGGATTGGAGTATTAGAGCTGATAAGAAGAAATAGATGGAAGAGCTAGTAGTGGCAGCGGAGAAAGCTGGAAGAGCGGGAAATATGAAACAACTATATGATACAACGAAGAAACTGGTAGCGGAAAAAATAGTAAGCCAGGTAAGCCAGTCCAGAACAGAGAAGGTTAAACCAATCACTGAGAATCAAGAGCTGAGGAACAAATGGGTAGGTCAACTTGAAGAATTCTTGGATAAACAGCTCAACTGAACCCACCAAACATAGCAGCGGTACACACAGACCTCCAACAGAGGTCACTCCACCAACGATCAAAAGTCAGAATGGCCATCAGACAAATCAAGAGTGGGAAATCAGTAGGACCTGACAATATACCAGCTGAATCACTGAAATCCGAACATGCTACACGTTCGATGACGAACACTGGTAGGTGGCCTATACTCTCCCTCGAGGGGTAACATACGTATGTAAGTTTGCTTGCATACATTTTTAATCATTATTTCTGACCGTTACTGGATGCAGCTCTACTTTTTGAGATAATGGGCATATTACCAAACATCAATTGCGCTAAAGTAGTAATAACGTCTCACAAATATCATAATGTTTGTGGTGAATTAATCATCTTAAAGGCGTATCACTTACGAAGAATATGCTTCAACATAAGACAGGGTACCCCAGTTCATTTTCAATGCAATTTCAGCTAATATATATAGCTAAAATAAAGGTACACCCACAGGTGTTTACTATAAGAACCGAGGCCACATTCTTGAAGGTAAAATGAGGCACTAAATTTACAAACTAGGTTAATCTTTTATATTTAGCAAGAGATTATTGAAGTATAAAATTTGATAAAGCCAAGAGAGAAACAATGACTGATATTTCGCTCACATTTGATCGTCTGATTAGCTACTAGGAGTAAAATAACCATAAGTTAGTGATTGAATAAGTAACAGAATCCTATGTCTTCATTATTTTATGTTGTTGAGTTATTAAAATTTCCAATTGCACACTTATTTTGCGATTTCGTGTCGTATAAAATTAACTAAACTGGAATTTTCTTTTCTTTTTGCTTTATTTCCATTTTTAGACTTGTTGGTTTTGTTTTAGTACAAAGTCTACGCATATGGCTTTTGATACCTTTGATAATTAGTTTGACTGTATCATTCTTTGTGCTTACATGGTGTTGTGATTTGGATGCATAAACTGTTGAAAACTTAAAATTAATATTATTCTGTTTTTGAATAGGTTTAGCTAATTTTTTGTATTTATGATTATTGATTATCGGATTTTATGTGTCGATAAATTTTAATTAGTACTATTTGCCTCAACCATCATTACTTTAAGTTAGTGGGTCAACGCTGATTTGGATCTGTTATTGTTATAGTCTGTTGTATTTCCTTCTAATGTTCTCCTCATTTGACTTCTCATATACTTGTGTATTTTCTTAATCGTGATAAGATCATTTGTCACATGGGATGACATAAAAAATTTGATAAGATTTTCATTTTTCATTACTTATATCTTTAGTTTCCTTAAATCATAATGAATTGCAATATAAACAATAATGAACGTAAAAACGAGCAGCAGTAAGGTAATTTGAAATACTTTTTGAGAAATACATCATTCTTCATTAAAGTTTTGAAAAGAGCGTTTGAAATCAAACACCCTCTATTATATATGTAAATTGAAGAACTCAACTAATCTTATTTCCCAACATAAGGCACACAATAGTTCTCATGGGAATCCTCTCAGGAATATGATCATTACATTTTAACGCCGTAGTGAGCTGTTACGACGACTTGGAAGTCTCGACGCTTTTAAACCAACGTTTAGTTTGTTGACCACTTCATTTCTTTTTGGAATTGAAGCAGTCAATCCTGGTCTTCAGATGAGATCTGAAAGCTGAAAACAGCCTAAATGAATTGTTTAAACGTCTGAGGGTAGCTAAATTCTATTCGTCATTGGTAAAAAACCTCACAATTTAAAAGATTCAACTCTCAACATATTCTTTATTTTGGCGCCAACTTTTATTTGCGAATAAGCTTCTTATGTACCCATCCAACTAGTTGAAATTCGGATCTCAGCTCATAGATTTAAATCTGAAGTTAGTATTGGACGTTACGATAAGGCAAACAAATTTTGATCATAATGAACTAATAAAAAACTGCATAGTAGGAGTGGCACATTTACATACATTTACACTTCCCTACTTCGCAATGAACAAGAGTCAGCTGCTTAGTGGTTCGACCACTATTCACTTTTCTTGAAATCTTACCCTAACTCATCATTACTTATTCAATAATATGTCATTTTTAAGATAACCCAGTCATCTTAGTCAGTGAAGGCTCATAGCATCTCTGTTTAGAACTTTGAGCTTAACACTACGGTTCCTCATTCTACACTTAATGTAACAAATTAGCAGATATGATTAACTGGGAATCTAACGAATTCGAATACATTGCACAGAAACAGCTAGTTCTTTCTCCAATAGATTTCCTACATTGTTTGTTTCATTTTCATAAATATCCAAGGAAATAATTGTGAACAAGAGAAAAAAGCGAAAAACGCTAATAGCATGTCGAGAAGAATTGAGACATAAATTACCCATGTTCATTATCGTTAGCGTAATGTTTATCTCATCAGAGATTTATCGATGTGCTTATGACTAATTTATTGTTCATATGGACAACAGATAGTGACTTATCATGTTTTATTAAATTATACAATGGGAAACATGATTAATATGAGAGAAGTAAAAGGGGTGAATAAAATTTGTGGGAAGAACAGGATATGAAAAGGTATTGTTATCTATAAGTCCACAATAAACAAACAGTGGGCATTGAAAGAAGAAAGAATGTAGAAGCACCTGAAAAAGTTTGATTTTATCGTTTTACAGGAAGAAGAAATGTCACTAACCAACAGAATTAGGATTTGTGGGGTTACTTCTCGGTTATTATGAGGTATTGGGATAACAACCTTGTCGCTTATAATGTCTCATGGTCAGTATTTTAATACTGGTCTGTGTATTGGGCTTTTGGCTGAACTTAATCACCGACAGTAAGTCATCCACTGATATGAACACTCGGGTGCGTTTATTTCGAAATCGCAGTTTTATGGTTGGATCATATGTCATATTAAACAGGGTTTCTCCCAGTTTATTAGCTTTTTATGCATGGGTAAATAATATAAATAAATTAATTTCATATATCTTACGAATCTCCACTTGTACTGGTTGAACAATATCAAATGTAACTACTACTTTTTGTGGGAATCAGTTCGAAAACTGTTTAAGACGCGTCAGGAAATTGATACTACTTTTATAGTAATTCAGTAGTATGAAGTATAAATGGGAACTTGAGTGGTTTCTAATGTTAGCACGTCTAGGTGGTAGGATGGATGAGAAGCCTTGTATAATCATCCATGTAATACCCAATTTTGTCAGTTGGAAAAGTCCGTGCAATTTATTGGGATTGAGTTTATCATAAATATATATAACTGCCTAGTATTCTTTGTAGTCGTATTTAGTTACGATAAGCTTGTCAGCAGTGAAAACAAGCATGGAAATTTTAATGGTTGAATAATGTTACTGTTTATATTTATTGTCACTCAACTTAAAGAAAAGTGTTGGAAGCTGGCTCCTGTTTAATTTAGATTTTCCAATGTAACAGTTGTAGATAATTTTAAGCAGATAGTCATCTTAAAATTATTAATGAAGAAATTAAGGTAGGATACCTTCTACATTTTTTAAAGTTACTATTTAATGATAGTTGTCTCTAGGAATCTACTCATTGCTTCTATCATAACGATCTACTTTATTTCTTATAACATAAGTAATTAGTTTCCTAATTGGGGATATTTTTATTAATTTTATGGATCTTGTATTTGTAGTAAGTTGATAGAATCTATTCTATGTAGGATGTTGAAAAACTGAATTTTCTTTATAATCCGGATAATAACTGTATTGCTTCATATATTAGTTGAACAGTAAGTTATAATAACATCGTACATTTTATGTGTTTATCATAGTCTCAGAGAATTAGCACGGCCTACCAAGGATACATTACCGATGTACTCATTGAATACTGACGCTTATTTTACTAGAGAGAAATACCATTACGAACTGTACTGTTTAAGAACCACTTGAATATGTTTATCCATTTCTGAGTATTACTGAAGTCAGTGAATCGTTCTCAAATAACAGGATACAGACGTGTGCAAAATCAAACTTAAAATACATATGTTTCCTTGATAAATAGATGAGGTAGATACATAAGTAATTCACGAAAGAATAATTCTTTAGTTACTGTGCAATGTAGTTAGTCATGATATTTGTCAGAATTATCATGAAGCTACTGCTAGAAAAGTACTAACCAGATTAATAATTGGATGGTTACCAATCTGAGATGATCAAAGTATGTTTTATTTATGTACTAGTTCCAAATCCCTATCGAATAGATATAAGAAAGCTCTATATCTGCCTAAGCAAGGTTTGCTTTGTAAAAAAAGTGATTGATGAAAGATAAAAATAAACATTACTGATTCGAAAAACTTACTGGTTCTAAAATGGAAGTTCGAATATGATGTCACCTGTGGAATTTCTATAGATTGTGAAAGAAATGCACTGCTGAAAATGATCACTGCAACAAAGCCATACACTTAGACTACTACTCTATTGTGACAGCTACAAATAAATAAGGTTTGAGTGAATTGACCTTTGATAAGTCCATTTAGCACTTCTTGGTCCTCTGAAGCTATTTAAATCTAGTAAAAGTCAGATAATTTCATCGTCACATTTCTGAAATTAAACCCTCATTATTGGATAAACGACAAATAAACATGATTAGTAGCTCTGTACACGTCCACTAAATTTGGACAAATTAAACTTATGTAAAGGTTTCGAGTGGTCTGTTACATACTTCCCTGTATCCATACGATTTTCATGTTTTAAACTATAAAGATCTGCACATCAATAAGTCTGTACAATCAGTGTCAGTATTTTAACACTTTAATTTATCATTGTTCTCTAACGGCGATTTAATTTTGACGTTGAAAACACCTGGATAGGTGTTGCTTCTCAGCATGGCACTGCCGAGTAGTGCGAATCCGCAACTCAAATTTTGACCTAACCAAGCAACTGGCACTAGATAACTGAACCGGTATCTAGTGGTTTTCTATTCAACAATTCACAGTTATTTACATATAATATCTCTCCAACTCTTCCAGAGTTTTTGCATCAAGTGTAATTGGACTGGTGTTCTCCGTGTTGTATTTGGAGATCTTACTTTTTACCTTGTGTATGTTGGGGACTACTGATGCAGTGGCTACTGCTACACTGGTTCTATTGGTATGCATTCGCTCGTGTGTGTGTGGGATAGAAGAGCTAGGTCATCTGAAAAGACTATATCGTCTAGTTGCATGCAAGCTGTCCATTGTATTCCGTGCTTCCCTTCAGATGTAGAGGTCTTCATAATCCAGTCAACCACCAGAAGAAAGAGAAAGGGGGAGAGTAAGCAGACTTGACTGACACCGATCCTCACTTGGAATGCGTCTGTCAGCTGTCCTTCAAGCACGATTTTTCAGTGTAGTCCATCGTATGATTTGCGATTGATCCTGACGACTTCCACAAATACACCATAGTTTCGAAGAACATCACATAATAATAAATAAGAATAATATATTTGTAATATCCCAATGAGTAGAAAATTAGATTTCCTGACGCTTCGTGATTTAGTGTAAGTCACTTCTTCAGAGAATAAAAATCACATAATAGTCTTCTATCCACGCTGTCAAATGCTTTCTCATAATCAAGTTAGTTGATGTGTGTTGACGAGTTCCACTCAATCGATTGTTCAACGGTGATCCGTAGTGTTAGGATTTGGTCTGTGCACGATCGATCCCTACGGAATCCAGTCTGTTGATCTCGAAGTTGGGTGTCTACTGAATCTTTCGTCTGGTTCAGCAACACTATCGAAAACTTCTAGTGATACCGATAGTACTGCGATGCCTCTGCAGTTCTCACATTTGCTTAGATCTCCTTTCTTTTGTATTTTGATGAGGTCTCCTTCCTTCCAGTTTATCAGCGTCACTTGTTTCTCATCGAAAATCTTCGTGAATAGAGTGTGGATCATGTTTGCAGTTGCTTCTATGTCTGACTTCAGTGCTTCGGCTGGTATATTGTCAGGTCGTACTGATTTCCCACTCTTGATTTGTCTGATGGCCATTCTGACTTTTGATCGTTGGTGGAGTGACCTCTGTTGGAGGTCTGTGTGTGCTGCTGCTATGTTTGGTGGGTTCAGTTGAGCTGGACTATTCAAGAGTTCAAATTGTTCTGACCATTTGTTCCTCAGCTCTTGAATCTCAATGTTCTAACCTGTTCGTTCGGGTTGAACATATTTCCCTGCTGGTCTTTTCGTCGGATCGTATCTTTGTTTCATATTCCTTTTTATGCTATCATTGTTATGTCTTGCACATATTTGCACTTACCAGCTCTAACGCTCTTTTCACTCGTTTTTTGCCTCTATGTATTTAGTTTGTTCCTGAATTTCTCCACTGTCGTTCGAGGTTTGTTTATCGCTGTTTTCTTGTTCCTCTCCTGAATCTTGCTCAAGGCA